ACTATGGAAGGAATTCGTGCTGAACTGATAGATTCATCAAGTGGCTAAGTTTATTATATTGGTAGCAAATGACTAAAAAAACACTAGTGATAGAATAGGAAGTCCCTTGGTCAAATTTGAAATCCAGCTTCAGTAATTATTAATCACATTAAACTGGAGTATGAAATGCTCTTCCTTGTGGTGATTTATATATAGTGTAAAGAAACTAAACAAAACTATATAGATATATGGATTGGTTATTGGTATTTTGGAAGCTCAAAGCTTAACTTTAGAGTTATACTGCCTTTGATCCCCCTAATAAAATAATTCTGGTTTTGTCAAAAATAATATGCTAAGCCACGATCTAACATTAACATGCATGGAAACTTGAGTTGTAATCTGGACATTTGGTGGAGCAGGCAATGATTTTAGATTTTGTTGCAAATCTGTCAATTTGTCTCCATATATATATATATATATATATATATATATATATCCTATAGTTTGTAGATACCAATTATCCACATGATTTCATTTCTTAAAGCCTTTTCATTTTCTTTCAAGAAACTCTAGCTACCTGATATTCTGAACAGGTGGTTGAGTTATAAGCAAAATGACATAATAATCTCTAATATGAAGTGTATTTGGCTGTATACTAAGGTAACTATTGCTGATTTATGTCTCAAAATTGCCACTGAGCCCACTTTTGTCTCAGGCCGAGTTAATTGATCCAGCAGTAAAGGGAACACTCAATGTTCTTGGTTCATGTGCAAAAACACCATCTGTCCAGAAAGTGGTTGTGACGTCTTCTATTGCTGCAGTTGCTTATAATGGTAAACCTCGGACCCCTGAGGTGGTAGTTGACGAGACTTGGTGGTCAGGCGCTGACTTTTGCAAAGAAATGAAGGTACATCTATTATCTTCTAAGCACCTTTATAAGGAAGATAAATAAGCAAGTTGATTATTTTGCCTATTGAACCTTCCAGACAATGTTTTTTTTTTTTTTTTTTGGCAACCAAAGGAAATAAATTAAAGGAAAGCTGAGAACATTGCTCATTTGTTCTTACCATTCTTGTCCCTCTTTCATTGTTTTATTCTTTACCAGATGTGGTATGTTCTTTCAAAGACATTGGCTGAGGATGCTGCTTGGAAATTTGTGAAGGAGAAAGGTATTAATATGGTTACAATAAACCCAGCAATGGTTATTGGTCCTCTTTTGCAGCCAACATTGAATACAAGTTCTGCTGCAATCTTGAACTTGATAAATGGTATGTCCTAACCTTGTGTACAGTCTGGTTATCTTTATTCGTGCAGTTTTTCATTTGAGGCTCGAAACATTATTGTTGAAAAATCCAGTATAAAGATTACCGATGTTATTTTCCATAATGTTGTCAATTTTATGTCAGATGTTCAAGTGAATCTGACATAGAAATCATCTTGAGTGGCATGGCTTTTGCTGTTGTGTAACCTTTTTCCATTGTCTTGATTCCTTTTCAATTTTGATTGGTCCACATTGTGTGAATATTAACACAAGTGTGGGTACAGGTTTGTGTGTGTGTGTGTGTTACTACAATCTAACCTATTCGTAGTATCTGCTCAACATGATTATGCCAACATCCTTTATTGGGATGGGACTTGAACCTGTGACCTTCCGTTTGGAATGGTAACAGTGATGCCATTAGACCACAAGGTACTTGGCAGTGCGGGTACAGTTAACTCACGTTTCTGAATCGTTGTCTTATTTTAAGAATGTGCATTATAATGTTGCATTGTTCATAAACAATATGATCTGAAGTGGTTTGATTTGCTTGTTTTCTTGTTCCCTTGCCTACTTGTAATCTTTAGTGTATTGAATTCACTTGAAAAGAAATTTCCTTAATGCAGGTGCAGAGACATATTCCAATGCTTCCTTTGGCTGGATCAATGTCAAAGATGTTGCCAATGCACATATTCTAGCACTGGAGAATCCTTCAGCTAATGGAAGATATTGTATGGTTGAGAGAGTTGCACACAACTCTGAGGTAGTCAAGATATTACATGAACTTTATCCCACTCTGAGACTTCCAGAAAAGTAAGTTCCCCTATGAGCATAGTTTTGATTGTCCCGTTTTATTTCCTGATTACGCCATTATATTCCATGCTCGTTCTTGCAAGCAAACTTTTAGTTAGCAATTTGATTTGTCAAAGAAATGTAACAGATACCGAGAGTACGTAGTTTCAGCTTTGTGTTGAATATCAGAATTGCTTTTAATTCCTGCAGATGTGCCGACGACAAGCCATTTGTGCCTACTTACCAAGTGTCGAAAGAAAAAGCAAAAAGTCTGGGTGTTGTTTTCACTCCACTCGAAGAAAGCCTCAAGGAAACAGTTGAAAGCTTGAAGGAGAAGGGATTTTTTGTGCCCTCTGCAGCTCTGTGATGATAAATGTAATCGATTGTGCTTGGTGTAATGGCATTATCAATTCCTTTTAGTGACCTTCGTTCAAACCTCCATCCATCAAAAGCAACTTTGAGAATAAAGATGTTTAAGCCTGGGATTTGTATTGCCTTTTTAAGGATTGGAGATTGTTGTTTCTCTGTCAATAAAATGTGTGTTAATGTGGTTCAAATTGTGTTTCATCGCCTCATTACATAGAATTAGCTTTTTTAGATTTTTGTTTTGATTTGTTGTTTATATTGGTGTTTGGATGTAGATCAATTGCCTTGATTTTTTATTCTTATATTTTTAAATTTTTTATTTCAATTATAGGATCATACATAACTAAACAATGTATTATTTCAATTTAAATTTACTACCTTATTGGTAATTATTATTCCAATTCTAATATATTACTAAACATGAGAAATACTTTCACCAAAATCTATTTTAATTATCAAATATGTGATTCTTATTCTGATTTTAGTTTCATGTTCGAATCAAACACATCCACTAGTTCATTAGGTTTTTCCTTCCTATTGAATAACAATACTTTTATTTTTATCTAGTTTTTTTTTTTTTTTTTTTTTTTTTTTTTTAAGGGAAATGGAATTGAAATTCCATGGGACGACGCCCGGTGAGCGAATAATACTGGTAACCCACCAATACATGTGAAATATCATATATAGATAAGATATAAGTTTGTAAAGCCATTTTCGAAATGGAATACATATATATAAGTCCAAAATCAAGAGTAATAGTCAACACAAGACTCAAACACTCTCAACAAGAACACGGGAACACATCCCAAGACCACAAGGAACATCAACGACTCACAAGAAGTCTCAAGGTACAATCTATCATCAAAGGAATAAGGACACGACCAATGGCAACAATGGAAAATAAATTTCAGGAAAATTGATTCAATTGTTTGGTTGGTGGAAAAGAAATTACTAGAAATATGGATTCCATTGTTTGGTTGGATTTAGAAAGATAAGGAATAATGAATATCAAGACCATTATGCCCTTAAAAAGATGAATGAATAAATAGGTGTCTATGTAATTAAGAAACTTTCATAAGGACAAAACGGTACACTCATGTTATTTTTCTTCCCAATCCTTGTGGAAAACAAAATCCCACCACTTTGCAAGGAATTCATTTTCCTCAACTTTGAGGAATTCATTTTCCAATGGAAAATGTTTTCCATCCAACCAAACAACATAAACCAACACTTTCCTTCACTTTTAAGAAAATATTTTCCATGGAAAATGTTTTCCATCCAACCAATTATGCTATGTCATAAGTCTGTTACACGACCAATTGCCGGACCACCAGCCTGTTGCTGCAGCGCCACTGCCGGACCACCGAACTGCCGCTGCTGGACCGGTCTTCAACAGCCGAACGCCGTGGCCACGCACCAGTGCCCCACCCGGCCGAACAACTGCGGCGGAACACACTGCCGCTCCACCCCGAACCCCTAATCACGATAGCAAGGCCAAGGAAATGCTATGTGGATGCCGGGTATCACCAAGGAACAAACTCGACTACGGTTTGGGCAGTCCTACTCGATGCCAGCGATCGTTTTATTTCGGCCTTCAGCGCGCCTATCCTGAGTTGCTTTTCCCCACTTATGGCCGAAGCATTTGCGTGTAAAGAGGCTCTATCCTGGCTAAGGGCACGAGGTGAACAATCTATACAGCTTCATACGGATTGTCAGACGTTACAGTGCTACCTATCTACACCGGACAACCCATCTCGCTCATACATTGGTTATGCTATTGATAGCTGCAGAAGTTATATGTCTGCGTTTAATTCCTGCTCTGTCATTTTTTTTTCCTAGATTACAAAACTTGTTAGCTCATACTTTAGCTACTTCAGCCTTTACGCTTCCTACGGCAATGTACTGGGACGATGTCCCACCCGACTCTATTTCAGTTTATCTATAAATTAAATACAACCCAATGGTTGACCTTCAAAAAAAAAAAATGCTATGTCATAAGTGATAAGTCTGTTATCAAAATTTTTAATTGTGAATTACATTAAATCTATATAGTATAAAAAGGGAAGCTGTGAGGTAATATGAAAAAATATATATAATAGTATATTCGTAAATGTTTTTTTTTTTTTTTTTTTCATTAAACATTTTAAATATTAATAATTTACTAGTTAAATAATTAAATCTATTAAGTTTCCCATTCGTTCACATATAAAATGGAATTCTAATGACTAACATCCCATATTTTTATTACTATTTATTTTATTTTCTATATTTAAACAAATAGTATTATTATTATTCTAATTTTAAAAACAAAAAAAAAAACAAAAACAAAAACAAAAAAAATACCAATTACCATGTAGTGTGATGACATCCCAATTATCCATCCAAGTGGATGGTCAAAGGTTTGAACCCCGGTGGTGGGGGTTTAGATTCTTTGGGTTAAAAATCTTTGAGAAAGTATATAACGGATATTACCTTGTAAAATGAAAATCATAAGTATTTAAATAAAGGAGAGGAGATTGGACCCATCATACCTCAAAGGGGTTTAAGGCAAGGAGATCCAATATCTCCCTATTTGTTTATCTTGGTGGCCGAAGGGTTCAGTGCTATGATCAGGGACTATGAGAGAAAAGCCAAAATTCATGGCTTCACAGTGGCCAGAACGGCACCATCCATCAGCCATTATTCTTTGCCGATGATATATAGTTTCATTTTCTTCAAGGCATTAGTGGAGGAAGCATCACATTTGCAACAGATCCTTAAGGAATATGAGAGGGCATCAGGTCAATGCATAAATCTAACCAAATCCTCCTTGGCTTTCAGTAAAAATACTTGTGTATCTGTGAGAAACCATCTAAGCAACATACTGGGTATTCATTACAGTGGTAACAATGGCAACTATCTGGGGCTCCCTATGATAATTGGTAGAAACAAGACAGAAATCCTTAATTTCATCAAGCATCGCATTGTCAGCCGCATTCAGGGGTGGAACCACAGGTTTATCTCTAAGGCGGGGAGAGAGATCCTCTTGAAATTTGTTATCCAAGCTCTACCGGCTTATGCCATGGGGGTGTTCCTTCTACCCAAGGGTCTTATCAATGCAGTGGAGACAACCATGAACTCTTATTGGTGGAAAGGAGGTGGCAACAACAACAAAGGTATCATTTGGAAGAATTGGAAGTCTTTGTGCATTCGTAAGAAATGGGGAGGAATTGGCTTCTGGGATCTTCACGGTTTTAATCTTGCTCTCCTTAGCAAACAAGCATGGAGACTAACCAGTGATCCCGACTCCTTGGTCTCCAAAATTTACAAAGCACGTTACTATCCTAACTCTTCTTTTCTTGAAGCTAATTTAGGCGCCAATCCATCTTTTATTTGGAGCAGTTTGATGGCTACACAAGACATAACACTCAAGATGGAGAATTGGCAATGGTTCTCACACTCGTATCTGGGATGACAATTGGCTGCCGAACAATAACAACCCAAAAATTCAGTCCTTCCCTTTCCCTTTCATGGATAACTCAAAAGTGGAAGACCTCATTGATCCCGCTACTCATGACTGGGACGAGTCCATCATCCGAGATATATTTACTGCCAGAGATGCCGATTTGATTATGAAGATACCTCTTTCCAACCAATGTGTGCATGATAAGGTCATATGGGGTCCCGAAGACAATGGGAAGTTCTCGGTCAAAAGCTGTTATAAGTCCATTCGTGGCAAGTTGAGATCGGAGGATATCAAATATTGGAGCAGATTATGGAATTACAAAATCCCTCCAAAAGTCAAGACATTCTTATGGCAGGCGTGTATTTCTTCTCTACCCACCAAAGACAACTTGATGAGACAGAGGAATGTTATCTGTACTGCAAACTGCAACCTATGCAACAGTGGCAACGAGACTATTCTTCATCTCTTTGCGGACCGTGACCTCGCCAAGTCCTGCTGGAGATATCTTCACTTTAATTCTCTTCTTTATATTGCAGATAGCTTTCAGTCGTGGTTGTGCAAAGCTTTGGAGACTTTATCTGACGAGCAGTTCTGCATTTTATTCATGGTCTGCTGGAATATCTGGAATCTAAGGAACAATATAATATTGTTTGGAATAATCTTACCATTTAATCGGCTAGTAGCTTGGTATCCAGGTCGCAATCCTATTATTCTGCATGGAAAGCAGCGACATCAGAGGAACATCACAACCACAATTCTGTAGAGCCTAAGGATAAGTGGATTAAGCCTAAGCAAGGTTATATGAAGCTGAACGTTGATGCAGCCATTAATGCCGAAGATGGTGATATGGGCTTTGGTTGTGTTCTTAGAGATGATCAAGGACAGTTTGTGGCTGCTAGGGGAACTCACTGGAGAGGAACTCTTTCACCAAAAGATGCTGAAGCAGTAGCTATCCGTGAATCTCTAACATGGAACAAATCTCTTAATGTCGACAACATCATCGTTGAGTCCGATTCCTTGCAAGTTGTTCAGAGCCTCGATCAAGTCTGATATTGGAGTTTCATCTTTTCATTTGATTTTAGCAGACATTAGAAACCTAATGAGTTGTTTTGCTCATTGTAGTTTAATCTTTACTAAGCGATCAGCGAACCAGGCAGTCCATCTGTTAGCTAGGCAGTCTATTTCTTTGCCTGGATGCTCGGAGTGATTTGAATTAATGATTTTATAGTTGGTTTTCCGAAAAAGAAAGTATTTAAAAAAAAATTAAAATTGATGATTATAAAATAAAATATGACAAACAAGTAAAAATTTAAAATGAAAAGACATAATATCGGATGTCCCCGAAGGGACGAAAAGACATAATATAACATTCACGTAGTTTATTTAATTTTTAAAAAATAAAAATAGAAAAGGACTAAAAAAATAATGACTCACAATTATATATAAAAAAGAAATATATAAAATCAATTTAATCAATTATATATAATACTAGTTTTTGTTTTTGTTTTTTTTTTTTTGAAACCATATATAATACTAGTTATACTTTGAAAAGAAATTCAACGAATAATGATCACCAATTAACCTTAAGATATGTTATCAAAAGTTGTCAACAATCGAGCATATTTACTATCCAATAAAGTTAGGCGTAACGGAACTAAAAAATATTGGTTAAATTGTATATTGAAATGAATGGTTTATATTATTTTAAGGGAAAATGGCACTTTTTCCCCCTATGTTATATGCTTATAGCACTTTTTCCCCCTGAGTTATTCATGCATCCACATTTGCCCCCTCAATTATTATAAAAGTGGCGGTTTTTCCCCCTGATAATATTAAATAGACATTTTTACCCTTAAAATACATATTTTATTTATTTCTCTTGTTCAACAAATTATTGTTTATACGTAGGGATGGCCACGGTTCGGTTCGAACTGAACCGAACACTATAGCAATCAAATAAAAAAAATTCAGTTATGATTCATAACATAACCCAATATTTGGATTTCCGTTTATTAAAATTGTGAAGTGGAAAAAAATAGATTCTGAACTGTGAACCAGAGGTTCAAATCGGAACAACTACTAGCAATAGCTTAAAATTAGAATTATAATATTTGCAAATAGTGTATGTTTTTTTCGCATTTATATTGACTCTCACATATAAGTATATATAATCGCGATTTGGTTTTTATTTTGAATCATTGTTTCACAATTTCGGATCCAATTTGAACTGTTGGTTCAAACATTATTTTAAAATTTTATTTTTTTTTTATTTTTAAAGTATTCTAAATTCAACAATTAATGTATTTTATTTTTTCAAATTGTGGTTATAATTTGTTGGAGAAGTAAAATAAATGAAATATTTATTTTAAGGGTAAATATGTCCATTTAATATATCAGGGGGGAAAATTGCCACTTAAATAATATAGGGGGAAAAAGTGCTATAAGTATATAACACAGGGGGAAAAAGTGCCATTTTCCCTTATTTTAATTTTAGTATTTTTTTCTTATTTTTCCTACCTTTCTCTGTACTATATTATTTATTTTTTTTCTAAATATCCACACATTCCGTCGTGTGAATTTTAGTAACGGAATATACCGTTAATTATTTATTATTCCTAATTTACTCATTTATTTTCACAAGGAAGGTCATACGAACCTCATCCTAATCAGAGTTGGCATAATTGTTGAACATATACTATGAATATGTTTGAGTGTATTAAAAAAATACTATATAAAATTGTGACGAACAACAAAAGTGCAATGTAGAGAACAAGCCATAAAGAAATCATATTTAAGAGAGATACAATGAGAATAGGAGCCGAACATCGGAGTAGATAGCAAGGGACTTGAATTTACTTCTTGTATTATTATTATTAGAGTTAATTACTGAAATGGTCCCTTGACTATAGCCAAATTATTGATTTAGTCCTTGACTATTTTTTGACCAATTAAGTCCCTCAACTTTAAAAATATTGACTCAGGCGCATTAAGCACAAGAGTCACGCACATTAAGTATAAAACTCACGCACATAAATCAACCGCACAACCGCATGTGAAGCTACAAATGCACCTGATCCCTTGCCTATATATATATATATATATATATATATATATATATATATATATATATTTCTATATTTTCCCATTTTATATTAGGTTCATTTGTCATTTATATAATTTTCTTCATTTATATATTTTCCATATTATTTAACTTCTATAATTCTCAATTTTCGATTCTTTGCTTCCGCCATTATTCCGCTATGTTCCTAACACGCTCTTCATCAAACGGTCAGGTAAAAACTTAACTATAGCTCAAGTTTATGTTGATGACATTGTTTTTGAATCTACTCAGACAGGTGCAACTGATCAACTTGTTATAGTTATGCAATAAGAATTTGAAATGCGCATGATTGGAGAGCTGGCCTACTTTCTGGGATTACAAGTAAACCAAATAGGTGAAGGATTCTTTATATCTCAAGAAAAATACGCAAAGAACTTGTTGAAGAAGTTTGTTCTAGAATCTGCTAAAGATACAAGAACCCCAATATCTACTTCTACAAAGCTGTTCAAGGATGAAAAAAAGAGTCTCTGTTGACCGTACCTTATAGAAGTATGATAGGGAGCTTATTGTACCCAACAACAAGTAGGCTGGATATCATGCTAAGCGATGGGATGTGCGCATGATATCAAACAAATCTGAAAGAGTCACACCTAAAGGTTGTGAAACGTATTATAAAATACGTCAAAGGTACACTAAATTACGGTATTTGGTTTTCTAATGACACTAATCTAAGTCTTGCAGGATTTAGTGATGCTGATTGGGCCGGGAATGCTGACGATAAAAAAAGCACCTCTGGTGGTTGTTTTTTATTGGTAAAAACTTAGTCGCCTGGCTAAGTAAGAAATAAAATTCAATTTCGCTCAGTACAGCTGAAGCTGAGTATATTGCCGTCGGTAGCTGTTGCACTCAATTACTTTGGATGCGTCAAATGTTTCTAACTATGGCCTAAATCAGAAAAGCATGACTCTTTACTGTGACAACACCATCGCTATTAATATTTCCAAAAATCATGTTCAGCATTCCAGGACTAAGCACATCGATATCCGCCATCATTTTATCCGGGAATTAGTAGAAGAAAAAGAAACCGAATTGGATTATATCTCTACTGAAAAGAACCTGGCAAATTTATTTACCAAGCCTTTGGATAAAACAAGATTTGAAGTTCTACGAGCAGCAGTTGGCCTGGAGTTTGAAATCCATCCAATTAAAAGAATATCCTTTTTTAATAAAATAAGGTAAGATTATCTAAATAATATTTTATTTTGTTATCTAATAAGTTATTTGGAAGATTATAAGTTCGAGCCTCAGTGGAGGCGTTATTGGTTCTTTGTGTTTCAATAGGTTGAGAAAGTATATGAACAGATACTACAATGTAATAGAGCCAGTAACTTTCAAAAAAAAAAAAAAAAGTTCTTTTAATGTTTCATATGTTTTTTTTTTAAATCGAGTGTCACTACTTATTTTCGAAAATAAAAATCCTCATCTGATCGCATTCTTGTGGTTTTTAAACTTCAAAGAACTTTTCTATGCCTACCTCTTAAATATAGCCTATTCCAAAGCATTAAAAGGAGTATCCTAGTCTAATCAAATGTCGCTACCTATCTATCAATCCTACCTCTTCTCGCGTTACCCAAGGTGTGACAACCCAAAATTTAATTTCATAAATCCAATTTCAAGAGAATCCAAAATAGTCAATTTTCACTCCATAAATTTTTGCGAAGAATTCGGTATTGGGTAAATTATTTTGAGGCACTTTAAATTAAATTCATCACCAAGATTTGATTTAATTCCGATATCCTAAATTTCCAGGTACATTACGTGCCAAGTTTTGAACCGAGAAATCTATCTGAGTGAAATCGGGAGAATTCTGAGAAGCCTAAATCAAATACCTGTCTAGAAATCATTTTGGGAAAATTTCATTTTCAACCCCAAACTATTTTAATTAGCA